CTTTCAGAAAGCCCAGGGGAACGTTCGTATGGAACTGCCATCTTACAGTATTATTGGTAACTCCAAGACTCATGATAACGGTCTTAACTCAATATAAGCCGTAAGGAGTTCGGGCGAAACTAAAGATCTCGGTAATAACTTCATATAACGTCGAAAAGTCCTTTTACTATCACTCAAGGCAAAAAATCCTCATATTTTTCATCCATAACTTCATGGGAAAAAATGGGCAGAACCCAACGGGGGAGAAAGTACGATGATCATCACTACTGGTCAAAAACTAATATATCGGATAGCAGATATGTATCAGATATGTACCTGATATGTGTAGTATTAATGCTGAAAATCAGGTACCTGATATGTGTAAGATATGTGTAAATATATATATCGTCTACATATCATTTACATATCATATACATATTGGTACCCGATATATATATGATATATATATTTACATATATCTTACACATATCGGGTACCCAATTTTCAGCATTAATACTACACATATTAGGTATATATTTGATACATATCTGCTACCCAATATATTAGTTTTTAACCAGTGCATTAAAATCTAAACTAAGCGTAATAAAGTGAAATAATGTTATAATGAAATTGTGTTTATCTATGAGTAGCAGACGTGGGTAACAGTGGTAAAAAAGAGTAAACATCAAAGGTATCAGAATCAAGCGCTAAATTTCAGGATACATCATCATCATTATTTATTAAAGTTTTCAATAAATCCACCAGATTTATTTCTTCTGATAATAGTGTTCTGCACAAATTGATTTATAACATGATGTAATCTTAATTACTCATAAATAATAAAAATGTATTTTGCGAATAACTTTGATCTAATGGTCTAATTTTGACAATCTTTTATTTTGATCAGGGCAATGAAACCTATTGATAAAAAAAAAGATCATCAAATTTGGATCACTAGATCCTGAGATAATAATTTTTAGAAGGTCGAATTAAGTCTGAATCAAGTTTGAATTGAATTAAATCAAATTTCAGAAAAGAAATTTGATTCGTGCAGAACACTATTTGATGATGAGAGCAGTAAAGAGCAGATATTAAAGATATCAGAATCGAGCATTAAACTTCAAAATACATTATTATCATTATTTATTAAAACTTTCAGGAACAAACCTACTGGATTTGTTTTTTCTGATAATGAGAGTAGTAAAAAAAATCATCAACCAAGTAAAAAGAAATCCAAGATACCTGAGAAGTCTAAGAAATCATCTTCCATTAAAGTTTCTAACAAATCTAATACTGAAATTGTTTTTTCTGATAATAAGAATAATGAAGGATTATATATTTAATTACTACAACTACAATGCAGTTGTGACTACTACGAGTACATGATATCACGTACTCTCATGTAGTCATAGATATTACGTAGTAATAGACTCATGTAAGCACAATACTGCAAAGCGACTACATTATACAGTACAAACAGTAAATTTTACAATTACATAAATTTATTTTTATCTACAAAAATGTCCCGAAAAATCACGTGTCTGTTTTTTGTCACATGCGCCACACTCTTTCTTGTTTCCATTTTTCATAAGTAACTGAGGGACTTGGAATTTTTTTGAGGTGTGAAATTTAATTTGTCACACATTATTTGTCACATATTTTAATTTCTTAATCTCTTAATGCTGGCCGTTTCATGACATTTTTATAGGGTACGCTGGGTAGTCTATGATTACGTAACTACGTAAGTACATGATAGGTAATGTAGTCGATTATATTTTTGTGCTCACGTAATCATGTAGTCATGTAAAAAAATTATGATTACGTAGTTAGGTAGTATGTAATGGTAAAGTAGTTACATGTACTTGTAATCAGAAGTACGTTATAGTTGTAGTAAAAAGCTAATAACCAATAATGAAGGCTACTAATCAAAAGATACTGCCTGAAACTATTTTTCAGTTTTCAACATTTGAAACTAAAACTAAAACTAAAACCAAATTCTATTCAGAACTTTAAAACTATTCCAAAACTTCCAAAACTAAAGTTCTGAACAGGTTGATCAAATTCATCAATATAACCTGAATGACCTATTAAACCTAAAACTATGATTTTATATAATAAGTGAGTTATGGTATTATAATTCATTTTTTATATTGATTTTATATAATAAAAATGAATTGCAATATTGGGATTCACTTTTTTATATTGAAAAATCAGATCAAATAGATAATCTGATATAATCTGATTTGACCTGACCTGAAAAAAAATTTCAGGTCAGGTTTATCAATTAACCTGACCTGACTTGATCTATTTGGAACTCTAGATATAAGTGAAAATTTCTGAAGAGCAAATATATTGTATAATGTATAATTATGTTTACTAATAAATTTGTTAATAAATACTAGATTTGGATGTTTATGATATGCTGCATTTACTAGTAATTCACAATTATACATACTGCTCAAATTATTTTGGGATGCTATAATTATAATTTGGGATGTCGTAATTCATTTAGTTTATATATAATTTACTATATAAAGTGCCAAAATAATTCAGAATGCCATAATTAAATTTGGAATTTCACTTATAATTATAGCAGCCCAAAATAATTTGGATGGCATGTATATCTACAATCAATACAAGCTGATACTTGGTTTTGATTACATCGGGAAATTTTTTGGGGAGCAGATCTGCGCAGATTTTCAGAAATTATATCTGCGCAGATTTTATAAATAACAAAGTTCTGCGCAGATTTTTAAATAAAAACCTTCAAAATACCTCAGCAATTTTTTTCAGTAAAAATCTGCGTCACAATAATACAAATTAATTT